GAAAAAGGAGGCGACGTGTACATCCGAAGCATAGGCTGACTTTCAACGGTTTATACGCGTTATGTCCTAGTAAGCATAACTATTCATAACTTCCTACATGAGAACATTATTCTGCTTCTATCATATGCATTGGTAATCACACCACTTAACTTAGATCTACATGCTGGTCTCATATTTTTTGGTTTTAAGAAGGCAAGTATTTTATACGCATTTCTCATTTTCATCTTGCGCGTTGCCCATCGTGCCCTTTCTGTTTTATGCATCAAAATAATATTAGCAGACAAGCAAGAATTTTGAATCCCTACAATATGTAATTGTCTTCGGATCTTTGTTACATCATCTGTAGCAGACGTAAATATTCTGGCCATTTTCTTCCCCTCAGATCGAGAAACAGATTTCAACTCCATAAAAATTAATAGTTCAAATTAAGATCTGTTTTGTTATCTTTTTCTGTTTTAGAAAGGATTCAAGATTTTGAGTTGAATTCAATCTGCTCTTAGATTCACTTTCTTCTTCATGTTTCTTTCCACGCATAAAGTTTCCATCTCTCACGCTTTTCCAAATTTCCCTCAAACAGGCCTGACTCCCATATCAATTCCCTCGTAACTTCAATCCAGTTTCCTTGTGGTCTGCCCCTCCTCCGGCACCTTGCTGCATCCCATTCCAGTGCTTGACTCAGTTAATTTCATTGTGGATATAAATTCAGTTTGTTTTTATGCTTCCCACATAGACCTCCTTTTACATTTCAGCTCTTCTAACTGATTTACAATCCTTCCTTACCTTCAGTTTTGCTTTATATCATTGGGATTGGACAAGAGAGTGCCTGATCGTTTTGCACTGCCTTCTGAACAATATTTTACATACTTCGTGCTGTCTTCTCTGCGGTACTTGAGTTACCTTCTAATAACCTAACGCCAATGTAACTATCTCAATGACACACATCATAGAGTTGATCTGTCTCTCGGTCCAGTAAATTGTTGCTGGCCCTCGCCAGCACTGACATTCTTGGTACTGGATCCCGCGGGACTCGTCACCGTATTTTTCTGTCTCACGACTTCAGAGTCGTGCGATTTCTCCTTGGAGTTGAGTCCTCCTTTAGAAGCTTATAGTGTCTCAGCTGATCAACAAATTTCCCGTTCCCTCATGAAATATAAAGGTCCTTTGCATAAAGAAATGCCCACCAAGGAACCTCTAAAGAGCTATCCTTATTCTCCCACCCCTTTTAATTTAAACCTATTTTAATCTTTTATGTACACATATACACGGAAGGCTAATTGGATTGGTCATATCTTACGCGGTAACTGCCTTCTAAAAGAAGTTATTGAAGGGAAGATAGAGGGGCGGATAGAAGTGACCAGAAGACAAGGAAAAAGACGTAAGAAGATGCTGGATGACCTTGGGGACAGAAGAGGATATTTTCATTTGAAGGAGAAAGCTCTAGATCGCATTAAGTGGAGGAACTGTTTTGGAAGAGACTGTGGACCTGTCGTCTTCACAGATTACTGATGAATGAATACATTTATTCCCCTCTTAAATGCAACTTATTATCTAGCCACCTTCTTTCCTCGCTACATGTTCTAGATCTAGGTCTTCAAATTGGTTCATATACTCGTATCTCCAGACTTTATGATGGATTTCAGTTTACTCTTATGCTTTCCACATAGACCTCATTTTAAATCAGCGCTTCTAACTTAAATCCTTGATTTAATTTTGTATAAGTATGAAAGTTGCAGTGTATCTTCTCTTCAGTTTTTCCGACTCAAATTTTCTGTCAATTTTTCATCTCACGTATGCATTTTACAAGCCCCACTTAACTCTTCTATTATCACAGCACAGAGTAATTACAACATGCCTGTTTTGATTCGCTTCAATTTTATGTACGTGTTTGCATTAATAAGTGCGAAGTGCCTCTTTGTTCATCATAACCTTTGCAACGATTACTAAGCATATTTCTTTTACTGTTTCGCTCTCGGCAGTGGTTTGTTCCGGACGTTTTCCCACCTCATGTGTAACTGATGCGACGTTTTACACCTCTGTGTTTATGTTTGTGTCCATTATAGGAGAGGTAGCTGTCATTTTAAAACCAGCCTTCTTCCATTCGCATACAAAGCGAGGTAACAAACTTTACTTCCTTGTCGCGTAGAGGCATATTCCTGTTAAGCCTGTGACATTTTATCATAAATAGCTTAATATTTGTTTTCGTTGGCATGCCAAAAAAACACGATAAAATAAATTGGTACTTTATTTGTGTTAGTATCCAGTTTTATTTGGGTTCCGGATTTCTGGAATTGAATTCTATACTCTTTCTAGTAAACAGGGTATGTCAACATTCGAGCACGCACACAGACACAGTTTCGAAATGAAGTTTATTGTAAAGAGATAATACTGTTTTCCGTATCTTTGCTATTGTATCTTCCCATGTTGTCTTAGGCTGTGAATGCAGAAACTCTTTTTTAAACCACTGTCCACAGTACATTTGTGAGAGATATTTTCTATTCAATGATCATTCTGAAAAACTGAACTGAAATTTGTTTCTGCCCACCACATTAAAATAACGTGCATCTCACTCGGATTGCCTGCCATGGGCTTTGCAAGGATGTGTACTAGCAGAGGGACAGCTTAACATTTTAGTACAAACTTACGTAAATGTAATCTGTTTAATATTATTTTTGCTAATTTAATTTCTATTCTTAATACTGGAATATATAATTTTTTCTTCAAAATTATTTTTTGTAATATGTGGTGCTATGCTTAGTCCTCCCCAGGGACCCATGGTGTCTGAGTGTAAAGCATTAACAATCAAAGCGTGTGTGAAATTAATGTGTGACTCCGATATAGACTACTGGTCGCTTCGACATTTCATTTAAATACAATTTATATTATCAACATCTTTGTGTATGATCGTGCTTTAAAAGCTCATAGTTGTTCAGCACTTGTGGAAACCCTCAGTTTTATTACTGAATTAATCACCTCGTGCCAAATATCTCTAAGGGCCCCCATACACACACAGTTTGGCCTCCAGTTCGGCCTGCACAGTTGAAGACTGAAAGGCAAAACTGACGTGTGTAGTGCGGCCGGCCAATCGTTTGGACTGTTGGCCAGTGGGAAACCCGTCAGTCCGTCAGTTCTGCCTGCAGGACCGTAGCACGTGACGTGTGTGACTCAACATTATAGGCTGGAAGACCGTGATTGTGGCATGAAGCCTGCCGGTTTATCTGCGCGTGTATGGGGAGGAAAGGGAGGAGGTAAACTGTCACAGTTTTGCTTTTAAGGTCGATCGGAAGGCCAAACTATGTGTGTATGGGGGGCCTAAGTGTCGTTTTGATGTTATCCTTCCGTCTGTAGATACTTATCCTAAGTGATAACTTTCTTCGAAGTTTTAGAATTAAATGTAAACATTTCTAACCTGAATATGAGGACTAAACGTCCTTCTTAACAAATTCCTCTTGCATTCACAGTCTGCCAGCAACTAAACTAATTCCTTGACCAGAATTCTACTTGAGAAACTAACGGCTGGACAAAAGCTAAGGAAAACAAGAGCCTGCACGACTAAACGTCCCATGTAAAACATAGGCGTATGTTAAAATATTAGCTGGATATGCAGTGGAAATTTTTATTTCTTTAATCTCTGAAGTTTGGTATGAAAGTTCTCCTTCAAAACGAGACGAATATAGGGGTTTCTTACAACAGCAGATGGCATTTGAAGCACTGTAAATGTAGGAAGCATTTCGCTGTCATTAACATTGTTGCCTGGTTACAGAAAGCCAGTAACTGCACACGGTTTCTGTGCTTTAAAGCACAGCAGCACTGAAAGATGCGACACATTTCCCAGAAGTCCCACAAGTGCAAATATCTTTTATTGTCTTTTAATACACATTGGAAGCAGTAAAAATATGAAGTCCATTAAACCCATCGGATATCGGAAACTGGTTTTAATATGTCAGGGAGGCCTGTTTTTTTTTCTGAAGCATGTTTGTTTGTTTGATTTATTAACTGTGTACGTCACCTAATCTTGAATCAATTGCAGGACGCTTATTAATGATTATTTAAAACTGATGTCCAAGAAAAAGGTGAAATATTATCTTCAAACTACTTCATTATTGTAAACATACTCATCTACAATATCAGTAAATTGTAGTTTATCGCTCAATACATATGCGTTTCGGCTCATCTTTCCAGACGGCTGTAGTACCATAATGGTCATTTTCCTGACACTTTTGGTTAACTTACCTTTCTTTGCTGTTTTCATACCGGAAATTCGGCTTATCTTACAATATAGCACAATATTTATCAAATGTACAATTATTTTTTTCGGGGGGGTGATGTTCTCACTGCACGGGCTATGAAGATTATTGTCTTTTTGGGTGTGAAGCAGTGTAGTTAACAGAGAAGTGTTGGGCAGATATACACGTATATTGCGATTGCACAGGAGTTTATGCTGATGGTGGTTGAATGTGCTGATATGCGTATGCGATGTACATCTGAATAATATTTTAATGTTCGGTTTCTCTCTCATAGAAAACGCCTCATCTCCATTAAAAACACTAACTACTTAATCAGTTTAAGTAAATCTGACTATTCACTGTTTATTCTAGGGTTTATAGCGAAAACATGAATACACGGTGTGGGCAAAATACAGAGATTTTTGTATTACATTTGGTGTTAGACCTGCAGGTAACAATCTCTGAGCTTTAGAGGGTTAAAAAATATGTAAATTAAGATTTATGACAATTTAAATGGTTATTGTTGCCATAATAAATTACACAAATAAAACAGATCATAATTAATTTAAAATGAGTGTTAGACTTAATCGTAGTATTTGGCTGGAAGGAATAGAGAAGCAGCTGGTCACGGTAGCGAGCGGTCTAAGTCATGTACTGTCTTCGCTCGCTTGGAAACCGGAATCATGGGTTCGAATCCCAGTCAGGGCATGGATGTTTAGTTTGTGTGTGTGCGTTTTTCTGTGTTTGTGTACCGAATGTGTAAGATCTATAAAAACTGAAGTGAACGGAGAAGTTCATGGAGGTAGGCCTAGACCCACTGGGGCTGTAGTGCCAAGGAAAAAAAAAAGAGAAGCTTTACGTACATGAATAATGGCCATGTGCAGATGCTTAATGTATATTGGAGGAAGTTCATATATTTGAGTAGGAGAACAGGTAATCGACGTTAAATTGGCGAAGACTTTAAGTGCAAAATATAATTGGGACATATTTGTCACAACTCAGTTCACACTATTTCATCTTATCGTTTCTTGACATCAATATAAAATTATACGAACCTATAATTGTACCACTTTTGTTTGATATGAATACTAGTTCTGTTGCTGAAGAAGAAGAATATGCATACACTGCGGGTCGCTGGAAGCGGTTAGGGGAGGAGGTTTGAGCATTTGCAATACAAGAAAGCTATGTGCTACGCATGGACTTTACCATATTATTTTATCACCCCAACTCGACTCCTCTTTTATAAATCTCTTGATCATATTAAGCAACTACAACCCCTTGTATATATATGTGGTAAAAGGAAATCAAAGTTGTCACAACAGGTTTCCATGTTCTCCCATCAAATTTTGTTCGCCAACAAGGATGTTGTTTTCGTTTGTACGATTTCAGATTTTAACAGAGATAGTTATGAATAGCACTAACTTCTGTGATATGACGCCATGTAGTATGTTGAAACTCATTTGACGTTTCGGAGGAACATATTGCCTCCTTCATCAGGGTCGAAGAATAATCCGAGGAAGCAGAGTTCTTCTTGCCACCTCCTTTCACACTGGTTTCTTGCTCGGCTTATTCTTCTACTGTGAAGATGGAGGCGATATATTTAACCGAAATATTGGTTGGCTTTCAACGGACTGCACGGCGTTATATCCCAGAAGATCGCGCTATTGTTTCCTTTCCATTACGATTAAGATACGACGAGCTCTAAGGCATAGTCTTCTCGTCTCATATTTCATTGATCTGAAGATCATATCCAGTGCCTTCCAGTCTTTGCAGTGTCCAAGCGTCCAGTCGGTCTGACATATCCTGCGTCATCTCCTTCCACCAGGCTCCGGTTTCGCCTTGGCGAATGAACTGCAGGTCTGGTTGCTCCGAGAGACCGTACCGTTCTCTCTCGATTCGTGCGTAGTCCTCCAGGTTGATGGCCGGGTTCTTCTTCATGCTGCCGAAACTCAGATGTTCTACCAGCTGATCCACTGCCTCCTTGCTCAACTCCTTGCCCAGAAATTCTCCCGTCTTCCTTATCACCCTAGGTAAATCCTGAAGCAGAGGAGTGCATTATGAAAAAGTTTAATCCTTAAACTAACTCCATTATGCAAAGCAATTTCTTTGCTGTTCAAAAAAACCCTCGTTTTCATTTCAAGATGGGGTCATTGGGCCCCATCTTGAATCATTTGAGTAGTTTCAACATTTGTTTTTAAATTCGCTTAGTGGGAGGTGGAGTCCAACTGAGTTCACTCGGCACAGCAGCCACTGATTGGCCTATTGTACCTGGCCCGGGTGATTATGGTGATGGAGAATTTGGTGGAATGAAGATTGACAGGGGAAACCGAAGTACTAGGAGAAATCCCACCCCAGAGCCACTTTGTCCACCACAAATCCCACTTGACCAGACCCGGGATCGAACCAGGGCCGCCGCGGTGGGAAGCCAGGGACTAACCGCTTGAGCTGTGGCGCGGCCTGTTGTCCAACACCTTACACCGTACATCCATTTTATTGAGCAAAATTGGTGAAGCAGTAAAGCTTTCGCCTTGCATTCGAGAAGTGAGCAGTTCGAATCCCGGTCGGGACACTGAGTATAATGATCAAGGTTTTATCAATCCCTCCAATTAAAAGTCGGTAAAGTACCTTGAACTGGGTCACAACCACATCCTTTCACATTCTTTTTAATTCATTATTCGTTATTATCTTACATTCGACGCTATACATAATCAGAGTTACTGAGAGCGCCTGGTCTTGCCTGGTCTGCTAATTTGCTGCTGGTCTTCGACAGCACAGTCAGTTTGTTTCAGGCCTCTCAGACCCATGACCATACTTTTTGTCTGACGACTCTAAGTGAGAGCGTCGTTAAATAAATTACAAATAACTAAGCTTACATCCATTTTAATATTATTCTCCCATTTACACCTAAATCTTCCAAGTTGTCCCTTAATTCAGGAATTCCAATAAAATTCGTATAGGTTTATTTCTCATGCTGCTCATCTCCAACTCAGAGAGTGCATAGAGAAAATGAAGACCACGAAGTGCTCAGACTTCACGACTAGAGCTGCAGAACAGAATTCCAGAATTCGTGAATGTGAATTTGGAGATCTAATGAAAGCAACTGAACTTTGAGCCAGAAGTTTTCCTGGAGAGGTAACAGAACAACTGTGAGAACTTGAGACTGTTCCTTTCAAACAATGTTTGTCCCTTATACTGTAGAAGCTACGTGTGAGTTAGCCGGCTGTTATCATAGTGCATCTGGCTTCAAAGCCTATATGCAACTGCTGAAAGTTTTGGTTCCGGAAGTGCTCTTGTGGCTGTCCGCAGAACTTCGCTACTTCTCATGCTGTTGGCAGATCCCCAGCACTCTCGATGTCCGATAAGCGGCATGCACTGAGACTGATTTTGCAGGAACTGTATGTTCCAGCTGCAGTATTCATGGGAATGGAGTTGGTCTTCAAGAGAGAAACAGACTTGTATGGTGCATTGCTGATAATAATGTCCGAAATATTTATTTCATCGACTCATGTTATATTAAATGGTTCTTGATGTGCAACTATAATAAATATCTGTGGAATTAATAAAGTTCTGTCAGAAGAAAGCTTGAGTTGAAGTGACTTACTAAATTATCAGCTCAAATGAAGTCAGGAACAAATAATATTATATTTAAGCATCCTGTTCCACTNTGTCATTTGTCAGGAACAAATAAGTCTCATATCATACGGAATTCGGCTGGTGTCTTGGGTTTTATGGAAAATTTAATAATCTGTGGCTTATTAAATAATGCCCCTAGTACCTCAGAAGGCCTATAACGTTGAATGGTAGGTTGATAATAAATAGTAGATACGAAAGGATGTGAAAGGAAGCTGTCATTGTGTAATTTCGAGGCCTCGGTGTTGGCCTGGAAAGGTAGTGGATAACCATGAAAACTCATGAGTCGGGCCTGGATTCGAACCTGTCACTTCCGGAATACAAGTCTGAAGCGTAACTGCTTGAGCCAGCACATTGCGTCATTAACTATATAAATTAGAGTTTCAGATATTAGTTTATTGATGTTCTGATATTGCACGCTTCACTATACTGTAGTGTAAAATAAAGTAAAACTATCCCTGTAAGAGGCCGTGAAGGCCCATAGGGTTGTGAGACGTTGAGGGTCCCACCTTCCGGCTTGTAGTATAGCCACTCAACCAACTACGCTACCGCGTGCCCCCCCCCTACTGTAGAGTGTAAACTAATATTATCTTCCTACAATAGAGTTGAAACACCATTTCGACGTCTTGGTAAATAAATGCGAGAAGTTTACCTTTATATTACGGGGAGCAGTTTTAGAGATAATGTGAAGTGCAGTGTCTTACGAATTTCATGCTCCATTTCTGAATAAACGAGAACCAATTCAAAACTTAAGTATTTTTTATTGCTAGTGGGGTGGGACTAATTCCCTTGTACTGCGGTCACTTCTGGCCTATTGTACCAGTCCCAGATGATATGTAAGGGCGATTGTGGAGCAATTGGTGGAATAAAGATTGGCAAGGGAAACCGAAGTACTCGGAGAAAACCTACCCCAGCGCCACTTTGCCCGCCACAAATCCCACTTGACCAGACCCGGGAACGAACCCGGGCCGCCGCGGTGGGAAGCCAGCGACTAACCGCTTGAGCTGTGGCGCGGCCAACACTTAAGTAACTTTCTTGACAAAGGTCTAGTTCATTGTCTCTTAAGGAATATGTAGGCTTCACTGCGTGTTCTAATAAATAACTCAATGTAGAAAAGTCCTTATTCAGCCAAAAGTCGCTGGAAATTCCCATCATCTCATGTAACTATATTATTTATTACCATGGTTACTAGAGTTCGACAACATTTAATCAGATTAGTCCAAACCGCTTTATATATATCTTGTTTCTCAGAACGTTCCAAAGAATCTTTGTAATTTCGGGACACTGCTTAACGTTTATTAACATATCAGGATTTATAGTGAAGATCTGTTAATCCCCCACCCAACACTTAAGCCGGAGATCCCCTTCCTGTTGTCCAAATATTATCCTAAATTTTATCCAATATCCCTCTTTCAAGGTTAACTCCATATATAGATGAAATTATTGGGAATTATCAGTGTGGGCTTCTACGTAACATATCAACTACTGGGCAGAATTTTGCATTCATCAAATTATGGAGAAAAAATGAGAAAGCAATGAGACAGTACATCAGCTATTTGTAGACTTCAAAAGTCTATGATTCTGTTAGGAGGGAACTATTGTACAATATTCTGATAGAGTCTGGAGTACCCATGAAACTAGTCGGGCTGCTTAAAATTTGGTTAAACGAAACGTATGGTAAAGTTGTATAGGTAAGCAGTTGTCGGATGAATTTCCTATCCGGAATGGTCTGAAACGAGGAGATGCTTTATCGCCACTGCTTTTCAACTTTGCCTTAGAATATGCCATTATAAAGGTCCAGGGAAACCAGGTGGGACTGAAATTAAATGATGCAAATCAGCTTTTGGTCTATGCCGATGGTATGAATCTACTGGGTGATAATATAGATACAAAAGAGAAAAACACACGAACTCTAATTGACGCTAGTAAGGAGATTGGTCTGGAGGTAAACACAGAGAAAATTAAGTCTATGTTACTCTCTCGTCACCAGAATGTAAGGCAAAATCATGATATAAAGATAGGAAACAGATGCTTTGAAAGTGTGGCACAGTTCAGATATTTGGGAACAACGATAACAAATCAAAACCTAATTGCTTCCATTCAGTCCAGAAGCTTTGGTCTTCTCGTTTGCTGTCAAAAAACATAAAAATCAGAATACATGATATAATTTTACATGTGGTTCTGTATGGGTCTGAAACTTGGTCTTTGACCTTAAGGAAGGAACATAGACTGAGGGTGTCTGAGAACAGGGTCCTGAGGAGAATATTTGGACCGAAGTGAAATGAAGTGACGGGAGGTTTGAGAAAACGTCATAACGAGGAGCTTCATAAGTTGTACCCTTCGCCTAGTATAATTTGAATGAACAAGTCTAGGAGGATGTAATGGATACGGCATGTAGTACAAATGGGTGAGAAGAGGGATGCATATAGGATATTGGTGGGAAAGCCAGAAGGAAAGAGACCACTGGGAAGGCCAATGTGCGGTGGGTGAATGTATTTAACTGGCTCTTAGAGTTATAGGATGGGATGGTGTGGACTGGATCGATCTGGCTCAGGATAGGGACCAGTGGAGGGCTCTTCTGAACACGGCAACTAAATTTCGTTTCCATAAAATACTAGGAAGTCCTTGAATAGCTGCACAATTGACGGCTTCTCAAGAAGGGCTCAGCTTCACACAGAGTTAAGTAGCAAAAGCCAATACTCACTACTAGCAGCAGACATTTCGCTGCATATTGACAACTAACATGCTAAAGTTTGTGGGGGGAGGTCTCACGACCTAGCCTATAGTCAGAATAAAAAAATCACTCTCTAACTACAAAACCACCAAATCCACTTCTGAAACGGTTTTGAGCTTGTTTCTTCTCCATTACGTTGCTACTCCTATGTAATTTTGAACTCTCAGTCCTATAAGGACACGGTTCTACCGCTTCGAAATTTGCTGTTAGGAATCGGAAAGTAAACTGCGCATTCCCTTCTTTGTAACCTGAAAATAGAGGTGGCCGACCTCGCTGGCAGAAATGGGTTGATAGCGAACACCAGTACTGGAAGGGCATGGCGACTGGTTAGAATATCAAAGGGGGACGCACAATAGACTACTAGTTGCGGTGCATGGGGAAACCCACCCCTTCCAAAAATAATAATAATAAATAATAACCTGAATATAATTCTTTCGGTAAAATATTGTGACAATTCAGGCAAATTCAGATATAATTATATTGGTTTTCTTAAGAACTCATAATTCCTATAAGTATCATCATTAAATATGTAGAGGAATGTTAATGCATGCAACTTTCATTTGAAATATATTTGCAATGCAGGAATAAATAGTCAGGCATCGAGGGACTAAGATGAGCGATGTGTGTCTGCACTGTGATGAGTCCTGGAGTAGTAATTTGTATCTCCAACAGA